CTCTTATGAGGTCCTGACAACAGCTATCTCCAAAGACAGCAGCCTAGCTCCATACAAGTGCTTCCCAGAAGAGTTCACGAAGTCATGAAAAAGAAACGTATAGGAAGGTTAGTTTCTCTGTCCCCCACCTCATCCAAAGAATATAGTAATGTACTTTTTATTCACCATAGTAATAATAAACCAAAAAATAGCCAACGCAACCCACTAAAGCTAGAAAGATTTTGTGACTGCTAAGAATCTTAGCTTACTAGCCACGGACTCGTTTTTGTTGTCAATTCACATTGCTGATGACAGCCAAGCAAGCATAAAGCCACCCAAGCCTTAAGATGATGTAAATCTGACACCAGCTGTCCAGCCACACACACACAGAGAACACTCCTAGTTAGCAAACTTTTTAAACTGATACTGTTATTTAGTTTCTCTGGAAATCTATGCTGTTGTGACTGGACTAGTTTTGGTATGAGCTAATTTAAAGCCTTCTCAGATAGTCCTTCACCTCGCTGTGCCCTAAGGCATGATGTGCCATTTTTGGAATGGGAGTAGCATTGAGGTGTCCTGGCCTTCATCTTATGCTAGAATTGTACTATCATTCTTCTTCCTTTTTCTTTCTCTTTTTAAATAGAAGTTCTAATCCATTTGGTTTCAGTTAAATGTAAGATACAGTGTAAAAAAAATTAGTAAGGCATGAAATAGGAAATTAGCATAAACATTTCTAAGTGGATAAAGACTTCATTAAAAAAGGAAAAAATCTGACTAAACCCTCACAATAACCAGTTGTGCTGAAAGAGGAATTGTCATATCATAAGTGATAATAAATAGAGTTTATCAAGAATGCTTTTGGAATGAATTGCATGCAACATTTTACTTCATGACCTTGGCACAAAAAGTAAGTATGCACTAATTGCATCTGCTGATAACCCAAAGTTATGAGACATTGTTGGGATTGGGGAATCGGTTTATTACGAGAAGCACTGTGTGACCTGAGGACTGAAGTACAAAAAATCCAAAGGAACTTAATAGTACAAAGGTCATGCACTTCTAGTGATAACAAGGATATGTGCAACACATGGGGAATTGATACTGAAATGCAAAATGACTACATTTCACAAATAAGATATAGCTGAAATAAAGGCAAATGCAAGTCAGGCAATGTTTCTAGGAAAGACAGTGGCATACTTAATGTCATAGTTCAAGGCACCAGGGTAAAATATTACTTATAAAATGCTAGTACCTGCAATAAATTTTATATACCTCCAGCTATGCATTTATTTTTGGACAAGAAGGCAAAACACTGTATGCTTATGAAAGATAATACATGCCCAAAACTTATTAGCAGCACAACTACTTCAACAGAAAATGAGTTTTTAGACTCAAACATTAGCGTGTAAATGCAAACATTTATTTTAAGTTTCAGTCTCCTCTGAAACCTACCTTTCAGTTTACAAGACTAAGGGATCACCGGGTGCACCACCTAATTAAACATTGTGAGAAATAAGCTAGCTTTTCTGTAAAGGAGAACTCGTAAGAATGCAAAAAACTGGTTCAGGTGTATTTGAAGTACATTACTTCCATATCTTACAAGGAATAGTGCAACATTTAATAGGAATTTAAAATCTTGCATGGATGGCACCCTTCCAAACAGAGATGAAAGCGATTTGCCACACTCCACTATCTCCTTGAACATGTTTGCTTACCACTGGATCTAGCCACAGTCAAGACTTGGTGACGGACAGAATTCACAGCTCACCTTTGTACATTCGTATAAATCATGGTAGTCACTTTATGTTCTTCTGTAAAATGTGGCTTGAAAGTCCGTGCTGAGGCTCAAACTTTGCCTGTTAACCCCTAAAAACCATTTCTTCCAAAGGGGTGTTTCATTTATTTTTAAATAGCAGATCAGTTTTTAGGATGTTTTGTTTTGACTGCCTGGATGTTAAAGGGTTCTGCCTAGACATGCCCAAGAGACATCAGCCTTGTTAGCTTGAATAATCCTTTAGAAGAAGTGCAACTAGGTATCAGGTGATTAGGTATCGGGTTTGTGAACTGTGAGGTAGAAGATCTGAATCCAAGTGGAACACAGTGGAGAAAAAAGTGGTATAAAAGGACATAGCATCTCCAGATAAAGCCAGCTCCACCAAGTAATATGCAGGGTAAGAGACTGATCTAAAACACTGGTTGTCTGCTTCCAGAAGCACGCAAGCATCCTGACAGCTTTTTAGCTTGATGAGAAAAGAGTGTACCTTGTGTAGTAGAACTAAAATAGACAGCTGCCAGTGCTTTTCTCTTGTTTTTTGTACATCTACCTCTACATTGACAACTAGTAAACGTTCTGTTAATGTTCTACTACAGTAAAATATGTTTATTCTCCTAACCTTTCCTAGCTTTAGAGTAATTCTGAGTGGCTGACAAATCCATCCATTATAGGGGCTGGTGATTTCCAGTAAGTCTCTCTAACAGTATGCACCAGCCCAAACTAGGTTCCAGAGCTGGAAAGGCCTTCTACTACACTGTAAAAGCTCAGCTAAGACCTAGCAACACAAGAGCTAGCATCTCTGTTTGGGAAAAGAGATTTCCCAGGGAAAAATATAAACCAGTGTATCCTTAACATGAAAAGAGACAGCAAGGTATACACCTAAATCCCCTGAGGCTGCAAAAATCGGCAGTTTTATTGGTCAGGGGATAACTGAAGCATGCATGTCAGGAATGCAGAAAGCAAAATACTATTATGTCAGAAGTCCCTTGCTGAATCTGTATCCAGTGCAGGTTTTGGTAATTAATATTACACAGAAGAAAGTGAAAATAACGAAGCAAGGATGTAATCTATTCAGTCTTTACCTGTAATTTTTATATATAGAGCCCGGAAGAACCCAACTTTAGCCCAATTATATAATATACCAAATCTAATAAGGGCTCTTGACTGAAGATTTCCCACAGACAGTAAAACATCCAGACTTACTCATTCCCTCATTCCTTTCCTTTTTTTTTGGGGTTTTTTTTTTTTGGCACTCCTTCCAGTACCAGGAAAAAGGAGGAAGTTTGTTCTTGTTTTCACTTCATTCTGAAGAAGTTTCTTAATTGTTTAAGTTCTAAATCACCAAAACTAGAGTGCAGAATTGCTTAATATAAATTCAGAAGTTCATAGTGATCTCAGAGTGTTATACCAGATAAAGTAAACATCACAAAAAAAACCTAGAGGCTGCTGATCTTAGATATTCCTCTTATATTTGTCATACGTTAAACTATCTTAGTGTTTTCCTCAGTGTATGTGATAAACTTGGTATAACCCCACCCACTGGCTGATTCAGGAATTCCAACTGCAGCAATGCCAACTGAGTACATCCTAGTGTAATTCTTTACCTTCTAATCTACAGATTAACCAAAAAGACCACTATCCGCAAAACCTGCTCAATCATGTTGAACTATTCTATTTCTTACTACAACCTTCAAAGACTGGGAGTTTCCAACAGAAGTGACTGAAGACTTGATGAAGATTTTATACATGCCAGATTTCACTTATATAAACAGATATTTAAGGCATAAATATTCCAATATAATAAACTTTAATAAAGCTACTTAAACACAGTCTGCTAGTGCTCAATTCAAGATTCACAATCAAGAACCCTAGTCTCTGAAGTACTTGAGAAATCACTAAGTTACAGAGCTATGGAGCTCTTGCTTTATGAAAATAGTTACATAAACCTATCTGCACCAAGTAAAATAAAGTCACAGGTTAACATTCATAGGCTTTAAAGTTCTGTTACCAGAACACCATATTAGAACCAGTTACCAGCAGCAACAGTGCACTATATCAATAACCAAATGTTTAGTATTTCAGAGTCTGTGAAAAATTGGGCAAGTTCTGCTCTTATCTACTTTTGTACCTGGGAAATACTTTTTGCACTATTAACATGGAAGGCTTGCAAAGCAATGATTCAAATTCTTCTGCAAGTTGAAGTGTGCAGTTATTAACAGGAGCGAATTAATTACCTGTCAGAATTTATGGCGGAGATCCTAGTCAGTTAAAGTTTTTCAGGTATAATTTGAGCTCAAATCCAATGTTGACAGTATCCAGTCAAGCCAAATAATTTCAGATAGGTTTGGCAAGGATCTCAGAAGTTGCTAATTTTGTGAGCATTTCCACTGGCACCTCTTACGTGACTTTGACATACATAAAAAAAAAATGTCTTGTCCAGTTTTAAAGCAGTCTTAAAAACTAATTGATCCAGTTTAGGCATGGAAGTACAAAATCCACCATTCCAGCCTGACTTTCACATCTCAGTCCTAAAAAATGAAGTCTATTAGAAGTTCAAAGCCTTTTCACCATTCACTTAACCTGTTCCCAGCAGTGAGAATTCACCCCTTTTAAGTTTCCCTTAAAGTTAAACCTCAATTCTGATTGTTAGACAAAGCATAATTAGCAAAACATACTTTTTTATTTGACTCCTTCCAGCTGTAGCAGTACATATGTGTATACACATGCATACTGTCTACTTGTCTGGCAGAAGGATGTGTCACTAAGGCAATGTAGGCAAGTTCAAGCAGAAAGCTGGCTCAGTTTATTTCTTCAACAGTGTTTCTTATAATTTTGAGTACAAGATACTGCTAGAAAAAATAACAGGTTCTAAAGGTCATCATTTATAAAGCTGTATCAGGTATAAATCAGTACAGACACACATTCTTATGAAGTTGAAGTGACAAGTGAATAAATTGGTACAAACACGTTTTGGTACATTTTAAAAACTGACAATATCTAAAAGCTTTAAGGCATCATTTCTTTTGACTTGTCCCATTGTCATTAATTTGAAAACCAGAGCACAGTTAATTAGATATTTTGGCAACAGACCAAACTGAGATGTCTTATGTATATGAACCTGTGAAGACGGACATTGTCAATTGTTCCTTCACTTGCTACTAAAGCTAAGCATTCCTTCTGCAAGATAACCCCACTAGCACACATGAAAAAAATTAAGAAATTTAATATTATGAAATTAAATATCTACCTGAGAGCTTCATGAGGAGTTCAGATGCTGCCTTGACTGACACGTCCTGCCTCATCACATTTGCCTGTACTTCCTGCGGCTTGAGCTTCTCCTCAGGGACATTTGGAGCTGAGGCTTCGGATTCATGGCTGAACATGTAGCTGGACTGAGACAAGGCTGAACCTGTCGCTTCTTCATCCTTAGGCTCCTCTTTCACTTTAAATTTAGGAGTCAAGGGCTCTTTTTGATTTGCGGCTGTCAAGAGAAGGAAACGAGTGAGACTTAATGAGGTATGTAATATACCATGATAGAGCAGCTAGTAACAGGAAGAAACCGTAACCTAAGAAATGCTAGAGCAGGTACTGGAAGCAAGCATGTCAAATAGTATTCAAAAATGCTTGAAGAGGTAAACAAACGTCTGTATCTTTTGTACAAAGTGACAGTTTTGAAAGACAAAAACTGCATATGCCAGAGCTCAAGAAACCGTGCTTCTCCTCTTACTTTTTTGCCCGTACTCCTCTTAGAAGCATTCCCCTAGTCATTGGTTTGTAGGTCGTCTACAGCCTTAATGGAAATTTAAAACATCACTTCACACGAGTGCAAATTTGGCAAAGACCATGGGTACTACATATTGAATTCTCAGAGCATGGAAAAGAGGCAAGAGATGAAAAGTAGAAAGATAGGAAACCTAAGAGGAGAGTAAAAGGGAAAAGCACAGCAAATTCTTAGGTTCTAAAAGTTGGTATTTGTTAAGAAACAGAGGGATTTTCAGAAGACAGCTCTGCACTGGAAGATGCTATTAGAGCACTGTTCCAGCTTCTACATCCATATAAAAAGAAAGAGAACAAGTTTAAAATAGCCCTTTCAAATACTCCATGTAAGCAGCTCCACAGCCTCAGAAAAGGGTACAGAGACCTTTAGGCCGCTTAAAAACTACACACTGAACAATGTTGTTCTTCAACACTCTTTTCCTATACCCCTTGACAGCAGTAGAACCTTTGTACTATGTTTGGTTGAAGGGATAAAACCTAGAATGCCTCTTAAACAACACTACCACAACCAAGCAATATAAATTCACAGGTAGACTGGCACAACAAACTGGAGGCTAAAGAAGTTGCACTATTTTTCAGCAGCTCTTCTTATAATTCTTTATGTTTGACCAGTAAGAGATACTTCCTTCCCTGTCTCTTAGTGGCTTTTTCTTGTTCAAAATTGCACTTTAAATTCCCAGTAACAAACAGCAGATAACATGTCCAGTGCCCCAAACTTTGATGAGTTCACATCTTTCTCACCCCTCTAAACCTTTGTGTCAACAAATATGAAAGATAATGCATCGCCCACCATTTTGGTATCTTTCTAAGCTCTCTCACCATTTACCTCACTACCTCTCCTACACATTTTCCTCTTTCCACATGACAATCCCCTGCCTACCCTCATGACTCTTGCTGATGAGCTGTCAAATCTCACTTGGACCATGTACAAAGGATGTACCCCACCACCCCTTTCACAGGCTGCAGCAGGGCATTAGAAGCCAACATGCATTGCCTGCCGCAGAGAGCTGTTTGTTTTACAAGCCCATTACATGAACAGGAAAAACCGAGGAACTGACACATCGCAGGGATAGTAATATCCAACTGCAGGGGCAGGGCACTAACAGGTCAAATCAAACCAACAAAATCTGGCAACATTCGCCTGCTTAAGCTCTTGGTCTACTTCCTCCTCCACTTCACTGCTTCTTGCCTACTCTCCAGCTCATTTTCCTGGCTTATTTCCTCAGATAACTCCCCTTTTCAGCAGTTCTCCCAGAATCTGACTCCTAAAGAATCTGAATTCCTGCATCCCACTGTGAAGTGCTCACCATCTCCCGGAAAGCTCAGCCCTACAATATGCAGTACAGTTGCCATCTTTATCACAAATAGACACTTCCATTTGTTACTTTGAGCTTTGTCCATTTGCACACAGTCCAGTGTTTTGTTGCTTTCTTTGTGTTTGGGGTTTTTTATATTATTTTTTAAAGCTATTATGTTACCCTGTAACATAACACTTAAATCTTTTCAGTTTATATTCCAGGGTTGTTTGGTTTTTCTCCTTTCTTATTGGTTGGCAAGCCATTACCAAAGAACAAGATTAAAGTAAGTGGTATAAATAGTGTACACATGAGCAGCATGTACATATACATGGCGCTATTCACTACTTCAGAAATTAAATTACCTTATATGTGTAATTTTTAATATGACCTATAAGCACTTTTATCAGTATTAGGGACTGCTTTTTCCTTTTTAAATAAAGGGCAAAAGCAGAAATATGAAACATTAAAGCATGCTTTAATTCATCAAAATACAGGTTAAGGCTCTCAAACCAAACTTAACTTCACCTAGGTACTTACTAAAAAAAAAAAAAATCCATCTACTTTATGCAGGCCTACATCTTTCCAGTTCAGTCTGTTCTGGGGTTTGACCTGAGGTCATGAATGGTCACAAAAAAAAAAACAAACCACCAAAACCCAAACCTTCTATGCCACACTACTTTCTGCATTCCTTCTCTTTTAAAGCATGCCACTCCGGCTGCTACTGATATGAAAAATACCTCTACCATGTAGAGTAGTATGAGTATGAGTGCAGCTCATAGAAAGCATTGTGCCTGAACTTTCAGCAAATCTGGAGAAAAAAAAAATCTGTTTAATATATTCATTTCAAGAAGGTATTAATTCAAATTGTTCCAGAAAATATGAGTGAGTGAAGAGGTAAAGACGATCTCCTGAGAACAATCATTAACCTATGAAGCCAGCTATGTTTGCCCATGAACCAGGGCAGAAAATGAACCAGGTAGAGGAAGCACTACATACCAGGTCAGGATACACTTTTACCATTTAAAATACACAGGTGATATTAAACTCACATACATAGATCAGTGTAAGTTTGCAACCATACACCATGGTCCATTACAAGCCAAGTTAAGAACAACACAAAAACGTCCATACACAAGTAGAATCACTGTAATAGAATTCATACAACATCACAGCCTTAAACTAGGAACTTCTTTCAGTCAGGCGCTGTAGTATGTGGTGGCAGATACCGTATGGATTCCCCTACCACAAGAAGGCGGATCAAAGGAGGCACTTTTGGAAGAAATTAGCATTTATTAGATCCTCTTATGACCAAGCCAAAACTTAGCAGCCAATTTGACCCAATCCAAGGGCAGGTGTCAAGTGGTATCTCCATGCTCTTCATCCCAGGCGATTCTCAAACTCTACTGAGAAGAAGCCGAGTTCTAATAGCTCAGAGAACCAAAAATTCAAGGTAGGTCACATCAGAGGTTAAACAGTTTCATGATAGTGACACACCCAGAATGACGAACAGGGCATCTGTCAAGTTTCCCTCCTTTCCTGTGTCTCACTTTCCCTTTCTCTCCCTACCCCACACATTAGCTCTCCTACTGTGACAGCACATGCTGCTATAAAGCCACTGCTCCCTCACACTACTGAGCCACCACCCAGGATAACAATGCTAAAACTACATTGACAACAAAACTACCAGCAGAACATCAGACATAGTCTAAATGAGCTCTTCATGAGATCCGTATTCTCAGTTTGTCCCCGTGTCTCTGCCAGACATCACCTGTGAGAAATATAAAACACTGTCCAGGTCCCACAACCCAGAGGAAGTCATGAGGATGTGCACTTAGCAGTATTACGTGAAGCGGAAAAGAAACCCAGACTATCATTCTTACCTATGTTGCTGGGTCTGCCTACTCTAGCTGATTTGCTTTGGACAGAATATAGAATTAATAAATCAGGAAAGAAGTAGGGGGTTATTTCTTTAATTTACAGCACATTCCTTGAACTGACCACACTTTCAAAAAACCAAACATTATAGTTGTACACAAATCACAAAAACAGCAGAGTTATTTAGCTCATTTTTCTTCTGCCAGAAAACAAAAACAAATAAAGTCAGACAACTATTTGGTCAGTTTCAATCTAATTGCTTCAATTAATGGGGCTTTTGCTTCAGTTAGTGGGGCTTTTACTCTTTCTTGAAATATGCTAAAGCAGATTCCAATGTAACTGAAGCCTAAATAGAAGGACAAATAAGAAAAGGGGGAGGTTGTCCAGACTATCAGATCCATACATTAGAACTAGAGGGGGGAAAAAAAAATCCACCCAAAACCAAAAAACAATCAACCCCCAAAACAACAAAAAACCCCACCACTCTTGCCTCTGTCCCATCTTGGATCCACAGTTACAGGCAAAATCGCTAACACATGGGAAATAGAATCCAAGATGTATACACTTGTCATATTAGGGAGAAATAAAGAGATGTAAGAAAAAAAATTGCAAATAAGGGAAATAAAAGTTCACAGAGACCCGTTTTTAAAAAAAACTACGACTGAAGAATCTTTTAATAATTAGAACTGGACAAGGACTAAAAAGATTATGTTGAAATCTATTAAAGTATATTTGAGCTACAAAATTATTACTCCACACCAGGAATAACATCTTCTATCTACATACAAAAATAGATACACATACATATACTTCATTTGTATTTAATTTACATTCATTCTGAACTGCAATGAGAACAGACTGAAGGATGTGTTGCCTGCAGACTGAATCCAAAAAGCCCAGCAATTTAATTTTGAAATACACAATGAGGAAAAAAAACCCAAACCAAAACCACCCACCCAGCAAACACAACCAACAAGCAACAGTCTCTCAAGCAGGGTTGATAATTCTCCATTTGTTCCATTCCATATCCAGGGTAAAAAAAAAAAAAAAGAGATCAAAGAAGATTCCAGACTGATGATTTTTGTCGTCCTGGCAACTGGAATAATTTGATCCATTTGGCAAAAGTAGATAATGAAATTTATAACACTTTCCTCAAACTGCCAAATGCCACAAGAAAAGCTTTGGGCATATGCCACTAATCTGAAACACTCTGATAGAAGCTGCTAACTGCTATCCCCCTGAGAAAGAAATCTAGCAAAGGAGGAAGGAGACCTGCATGGTTGAACAAGGAGCTTCTAGCAGAGCTCATGTGGAAGAGAAAGGTCCATGGAATGTGGAAAGAGGAGCAGGCCACTTGGAAGGAGTACAGGAATGTGGTCAGAGCATGCAGGGATGCAACGAGGAAGGCCAAGGCCCACCTGGAATTGAATATGGCAAGGGATGTCAAAAACAACAAGAAGGGCTTCTTCAACTGCATCAGCTGCAAAAGGAAGGCTAGGGACAATGTGGGGCCGCTGCTGAATGAAGTGGT